TGGCAGCCAGCATCTCAAACGTCTCCCAAAGATCTTCACCTCTTCTTATCCAAGACCACAAGTAGATCCCTTTGACATGAATCAGGGCTAACCTGTGTGATTAACAGAATGTGGCACAAGAGTGTGCATTCTGAGGCTAAGGTCATAAAAGGCATTCTGGGTTCTTCCTTGAACTGTGGATCACTCCTTCTGGAGGAAGCCAGTTACCATATTGTAAGGACGCTTAGGCAGCCTTGTGGAGAGGCCTGTGTGGAGAGGAACTCAGGCCTCCTGCCAACTGCCCGCTCCCGCTTGCCAGCTACCTCGGAAGTGGATCCTCCAACGCCAGTCAAGACTTTGAATGGCTGCAACCCCACGAAAGTTCCTGAGTTAGAACCACCCAGCTGAGTCCTTCTTGAATTCCTGACCCACAGAAACCATCAGAAATAATAAATATTTATTCTTTTCCAAGCCACCAAGTTTGGGATGAGTTGTTAGGCAGCAGTAGGTAACCAACATGGGGGAGTGGGGTGGAGATCATGGCTGATTATTTCACTCTGCTTTTCCAAACTTTCCACAATGTCCTGTAATTTCAAAAAACAGTGGTAAAAAAATATTTAAAAGAGGAGAGGGAAGCAGGCTATCTCTATACTTCTGTGTTTGTTCCAGTGCATCCCAACGTTTTTCTTTTTACGAAATTAATAGAAAATATATTTGTTCAGCCCATGGCAGGAGGTTGTGGGGCTGAGGGAGATTTGGAGTATTTCCATGGAAGCATGGTGAAAACATTACATTGTCTTACTATTTACTTTTTTTTTAAATGAAGGTAATAAAAATAATGCAATGCATTAGGAAAGCTGGTTGAATTTGTATTATACTTGTCTCCAAAATATTTTAAAATATTTTAATAAGAAAGTTGAGTTGGCTTCAGAGCATAACCTTTTTATATCAGGTTTTATGCTTGAGATGACTGTGCCCAATTCTTTTTAATGATGATTCTTTTGAATTCAAAAATTCTTCAAATTCCTTAAAATTTTTTAAAATTTATTTTTTATTTATGAAAATTTTTCTTCTTTTTTTGTGGGGGAGGTAACTAGACTTATTTTAATGGCAGTATTGGGGACAGAACTCAGGGCCTCAGGCATGCTAAGCAGACACTCTACCACTGAACTATACCCTCCCTCCCCAAATTTTTCAAATTCTTGATACTTACCATCAGTGCAAAATTTCATTTGTACAGGTAGCTGTCAGCAAAAGATGAAGGTTATTGCTTTTTATCTTCATAGCTATTCCTGTCTTGCCATTAATCAGAATGTGGATAATTCTGATGCAGGAAAAGGGATGTGGAGTGTGAGAAGGGCTGTGTCCCAGGCTTCGGTTGAACCCCTGGAATGTGCCCCACCAAATGTGGGTCCTTGGCTTCACGCAAGAAAGAATTTAAGAGCGAGCCACAGTTAAGTAGAGGTAGATTTATTTAGAGAGATACATACTGCATGGAGTGTAAGGCAAGAGAAAGGCAAGGAAAGAGATGTGGGAATTGGGTGCTCAGGTTAAACTAAAGGTAGGTACACACTCCATAGACAGAGTGCAGGCCATCTCTGAAGGGGAGGAAGCGGAAAAGGCCACTAGGCGTGGTGTTGCCAGTTTTTATGGGCTCAGAAGCTTCACTCACCTACAGGTGGGATCATTCCAACTGCTCTGGGGAAGGGACTGGGATTGCCAGGGATTGGGCCACGGCCCATTCTTTGGCCTTTTATAGTTAGCCTTGGGACTGCGGGTATGTTATTGATCACGCTGTTACAATGAGCATATAATGAAGCTCAAGGTCTACTAGAAGTCAAACCTCTTAATCCTCAAGGTCAACTAGGAGGTGAATCTTCGACCATTTTGGTGAATCTTCCACCATTTTGGTGTTAGATTGCTGTCGTTACTTGAGTGGCTGTGCCCTGCCCCCTTCCCTCCTGTCTCAATTCTATTTGTTTAAATTGCTTTCTATGGTGCGATTGTCTTTTAAATCCAATAGCCCTGCATCTCTGTCTGAAACACTGAGACTTTTAGCATATTGTTAATGGATTTTTTAACTTCAATCAGATTTTTGCATATCAATATTTCAAGACAGTAGTGTAGCTTTTCCTCAAGCAGACCCAGAAATTGCTTTTCCAGTCTTGATACTTCTTCTTTAGGGTTTGGTTTTTCACAACTACACATCCCTCGTGAACAATTTTTAATCTCTGAATTCTGTTCCACATACTTCGTCAGAACACGCTAGCTTACCTCCACGTGGCTTTTGCATTTTTCAGTATTAAACTCATCCAGCAGCTCAAAAAGTTCGGCTAGTAACTACCCTTCTCCAAATCTGTAAAGCAAGAATCATTCAGAGAATAATTTTTGAATTCTTCTATTTTGCCCCTATTTCTTTCCTTTGGGCAGCCAACGTATTACCATGAAATTACGGAGAGGGGTGTTCTGACCCCAGTTCTTTCTCACAAAGCTGAAAACAAGGACTGTTGCAGTGGGGACGTTTTGGAATTAGTCTTGGCATCAGTGATGCGCAATTCGGTCTAGGGTCAGACAAGCTCACAGAAGAGCCTCTAGGCTGTTAAACAGGTTATTCCTTTGTGACATAAAATTTGTTTACGGCAAAACAGGAAAAATTGTAAACAATAAAAATTCTTTTCTGGCCTTTGGCCTCCTCTTTCCCCCAGCTGTGCACTGTGTACCTGCATTAGGCATCGACCAGCTTCCCCCATCACAGGAATACCTGCTTAGCCATAAGGAGCAACATTCTCCTAGCATCAACACGACGACTGAAAAGGCAGCATTCCTTCTTGATCTTGTAAGGGGTCACATCACCCACCAGGCTGACGCTTAGATTTGGATTCTGTAAACTGTCGATAATACATCATTTTATGCACACTCCTCTCTGCCTCAAAAATCTTATATAACTGTTCCTTGATTTCTAACCACTGGAACAGTTCCCAGAACTTTCTGAGGTGGCCTTCCTGGGCTATAATCCTCAAATTTGGCTTGAATAAAGTTTTCCATTTCTTTCTTAGATCAACTCATTACCATTTTAATAACACCTTCCTTCCATGGTAGCCTCATCTTCGGTATCAAAATCTCAGTGTATCTAAAAAATATGTCATTTGATTCAAAGTCTTTATTTACCACTTTGGATATTTCACCGCCAGTGGTTTGTTCTTGCAGAACAGGTGTCAACCACTGAGTCTGGTCACTAGTCTATAGCTTGTTTGCAATATACACTGGTTTTCAAATGAGTGTTGTCAGTGCATTGCTAATAGTAATTTTCAAAGTATCAACTTTGATATTTCCTTTGCTTCCATGGTCCCAAATTCAACCTTTCCAATTTCCATGTGAGCTGAAATGAACAGGTAAAATGAGCAACGGTGGATAAGTATGAGGCATTTTCGTTTGACTGTTAATGCAGAGCCCTATAATCAGCTTTTTGAACTCTATCTTAGATAGACACATTTTTAAAGTTAATATAGTTTCCTGTTTATAAAAAGCATACAAAATCTTGTTTTTCTATCCAGATCTCCCATTTAGTTTTCCTGACTTCTCCCTTAGCATTCAGCAGTGAAAGGTCACTTTTTTTTTTTGAATCTTTGTGACTATTTCATTCATTCCAGGAAAGTGAACTGAGCACCTACTATGTGCCGGCCATAGTACCAGGCAAAGATGACCTATCCTTGCCTTTTCAGGAGCCACTGGAGAGAGACCAGCATGTGAATGAATCCATTACAACACAGTGGAGAGGATGGGTAGAGGGCATCACAGGAGCCCAGTTACAGGCAGGGGAGGTCAGGGGGTGCTGCCTGGAAGAGGTGACTCTCAAGGTGTATTTCAATGTATGACTAGGCACAGCTTTCAAGTTTACTGATCTGTTGAGGGCTGTGGATTGAGAACAACTTGAATAGAAAAGATCGCATTCAGATTGCTGAACAAGAGGTGGAATCCATGAGAGGGACTGAGAATTTGATGCATCAACACCAGGGCCTTGGGACAGATTTTTGGAGAAGTCTCATTCAAGCGCTGTTCTAAGGGCTAAACTGCTGAAAGACTGACCTTGGCGACACGGCAGATTGCAGTGGTTCCTGCCCAAATGTGATAGTCCTACTTCTTTCCTAGATTGTGCCTTTTCTTGGGCTGTAGGAGGCTGAGCAATGATCTAATTTAATTCTCTGGCAACTGCAGGAGGAAAGGATTAGATAAGGAAAATTGCCCAAAGCCACTCACTGGGCCAGTCCCTTATGAATCTAATCTGAGTTCCGGTGAAGGTCAAGGTCAGGGATGTAGGCACGTTTCAACCTCTGGGCTGGAAATGGATCTGAGGTCAGAGGGACGCTGTGTCATTCCTCTGCACAGCTTCTGGGGAACTGAACCACATCCCACATCTGCAAAGTGGAATTTCTAGGACCGCCAGTGATGGGTGATGGGTGATGGGTGGAGGTCTCTATCCGTTGCCTGAGTCTGGCTTCATAATTTACTGATCAACTATTTATTGAGTGTGTACCATCTGTGAGGCCCACTGCCATGGAGACATTTGCCAGCAGAGAATGTAAGTCACACACAGGGGAAAAGCTTTAATTACACGAGGCAGGAAAGAGTTTATGCCAAATGAGTGAGCACAATGCGCTCTGGAAGTTCCTCGAGCCAAGCAGACAGGGGCTGTTCCCTAACCCTGCAAAGAGGCATTTTCAAGTGGAACAAGAATGAACAGAGAGGTTTAAAAGAGGCAGAGTCAGGGATGGGAAAGGAAAACAGTCCCTCCATTGGTTCCCCAGGCGAGGTTTCTCCTGACTGTGCCTGTAAAGCCAGCTGGCTGCTGCTGGCTGGACTTCTCCAGCAGCCCAGCCCTGGTGTGTGCAAGGCTCTCTGTCATGGGTTTGCAGAGCCATCGCGATCCTTGGCCAGTCTCACCCCCATCAGCGCCAGGAGAAGCCAGGGGGAGTCCGGACACTGGCTGAGATGCTGTCAGCAAGTGCCAGGCTGTTGGCAGCTTAGATGGTTTCTTTAAGGGGAGAAACTCCCAGCTGCTGAAGAGAAATTTCTTCACCTTTCTCTTCTGCCTCCTTCCTGGAAAGTCCCTCCTTGACCCTGTTGAAATGAAAAGGCAAATGGGACAATGCCATGGAAAGGTGGAAGGAGGTGACGAGGGACAGGTGGTGTGAGTGTGGTGGTCAAGGGTGTGTTTGTGTCTCCGCTGTCCCCAGGGAAGGCAGAGCCGCAGCGGCCCTTCCTCTGGTCCTCCTCAGCAGCTGCCCTCCCACCGTCCCTTCTGCTCCCTCCTTGCTCTGTTCCAGAGGCGCACAGCTGCCAGGGGCTGGCTTGGCTGGTGAGAACCAGACATGGAAAGGCTGCAGAGTGGAAGAGTCCTCCAGTGAGGACCTGAGGCCAGACACGAACCCAAGGTCACCCTGCTGGTGAACGGGGAGCCAGGCTCAGCTCACTTGCTGCGGTCCAGGGGCACCAGCAAGACCCTGGGGATTGGGCACTGCCTCTGCCCTTCTCCCTCTGCACCACAAAGAGCATCAGCCAGCCCAGGAGATGGGAGGACAGTGTCAGGGGAGGGGGTGGGCAGGGGGGGTGCCCTCCAATAGCCCCCCAATAGCCTGAGGGCTCCCTCAGGGCTTCTGTCTTTGACCAGTTCCTCTTTTAACCCTCTAGTCTTTAAAATATTTGGGTTCTGGCCTCCTGTTTATTTTATCCTCCTCTTGCACAGACTAAGAATTATTTGTTTTTCTATTTAATTGTCTCAGTTTTCGTAATCTTGTTTTAATCCTTCACAGAGTTTGCCAAGTGCTCCTCTCCAATTTCAGCTGGTTACATTTTTAGAACTTTTTCAATGTTCAAAACATTTCATCAGTATTTTTACCTTACCCCTTCTGTTTCTGATCTATTTCAACAGTTTAAGCCACTTTTTGAGAGCGATCAGGTCTTAACAGAATCACAAAGAAACATTTTTCTTCTCTTTCTACTGTCTCACATCTCTATTTCCTGCCCTTTAAGCCTCCTCATCTTCCTGACCTCTGTCCCTTGGGTTCATTCAGCTTATTGGTTTGACCTGTCAAGAGCCTGTGGTGGGGCTGAGAGGCGGGAGCTGCTCCCGCCTGCCTATTTCTCTCCAGTTCTGTCTGGATCCCATATTCCTTTCAAAGATGATTCCTAAACACCCAGGGGCAGAGAGGCTCCAGATTCAACTGCTGCAAGGGTTAGGCTTGCTGATGCCATTTTTAAAACTCATCAGATACTACTTAGCCATAAAAACTGACAACATAATGCCATTTGCAGCAACATGGATGCTCCTGGAGAATGTCATTCTAAGTGAAGTAAGCCAGAAAGAGATAGAAAAATACCATATGAGATCGCTCATATGTGGAATTT